TTCCCTGGTCTTCAAGGAGCAGAGAACATCAATGTACACAGATGTTCCCTGGTCTTCAAGGAGCAGAGAACATCATGTACACAGATGTTCCCTGGTCTTCAAGGAGCAGAGAACATAATGTACAGCAGATGTTCCCTGGTCTTCAAGGAGCAGAGAACATCAATGTACACAGATGTTCCCTGGTCTTCAAGGAGCAGAGAACATTCAATGTACAGCAGATGTTCCCTGGTCTTCAAGAGGAAGCAGTGACATAAATTCGTAGATGTGGACAGAATGTTTGTCCTTGTGGTGTAAAATTTGTAGTCATGTAGTTCCCTGGTCTTAAGTCTGATACAACAGTGCCTACGATTAAAATTCTGAAGATGCTGGGTGTAGAGAAGTTTGCTACAGTTTGTTTGGGTAGATTCTGCATCATGCTTTGTCTAGCGTATTATTAGTTCCTGTGCCAAATTTTCCCAGGTCGTACACGGAATTCGCTACATGTATCTGGTCGACGAGAAATGTACAAAGTGTTTTAGGTGAAGTGATATAGCACCAGGGGCATGATTTTATAGCCGTGGAAAGCTAGACAGTTGCAAATGTATCCTTTATGAACACTTCGCCCACACAGGGGTATAAGTCCACTAACGATTATCGTGGGCGAACAGCAGTGATACAATCCTGCAAATTTTCGGTAATCTTGCCAGATAAGACACAGATGTTGAGCCTGAATAAATGCCTACCGTGTGGACGAAAACGATGAAATAGAAATGCATATATGCATGTATCTTTATTGACAACGAGTCGTAAACAGTGAGACACTCAATAACGTCACATAATATTACTGATGGGCCAAAACGTACAATTACCCTTCCATTCCTGCAAATACTCGTGTACTTTTGGCCCAGGTAGATCTGTTTGTGGCCTGATCAAGCCTACCGTGTGGGCGAAACGTAGTAAAGAACTGCATTATAGTGCATTTATGTCTATTTTACCCCGAGGTGAGTATAAGCAGGTGAGAACACCTCGAAGATAACCCGAACCTTCACATAATATACGTGAGATTGGTGCCCCATAACGTCATCTAATTTTCCCCAATTTTTCCCAGATTCTCCCCAAATTTTTTCCAGTTTCCCCCAGTCTTCCCCCAATTTCCCCTAGTTTTTCCCGAGTGGTTCCTACAGTCTTGGCTGGCCACTGCCTTGGTTCCTCTCAGAATAACTCCTTGTGGACCACCACAAATAAAATATACCGAGGCACGGGGCTTCACCTGCGTATTTATTGCAGGTAATAAAACCTTTATAGACGTTTCCTTAGAGCTTGAAATCTTTGCTCAAGAGTTTTGTAAACAGGTATATATTTTTTTTGGGGGGGGAGGGGGTTAGGGGAGGTGTTGCATGTAATTAAAACGGCTATTACTTTTTCCTGCTAGTTGTGGAAGGTGTTACTTCTAGCTATTGTTGCTACATTAATGGTGATGATTATTATTTTAAATTTAATCTGTTAATTAATATAGCAATAATAATATAGTACTGCTATTAACAACAACAACAATAACAATAGCAACAGCAACAACAATAATAATAATAATAATAATAATAATAATAATAATAATAATAATAATAATAATTCATTTATACACGAGCATGATACACAGTAATAAAATATGCATGAAGAAGAGTAAGAATGTTAATCAGTTTAAATATTTCACTAAATATTTCCCTTAAGTTTCAATGAGATCATCTTATATATATGGAGCAAACTCAAATATTGGAAGACTCTTTATGGAATATTCCCGTATGGTAGAATATTAATGAATCACAGAATATGTGGTGGTGGAAACACATACACAGTCTTATGGATAGGTATGACAGAGCCTACAAGGTAGACAGCTAGCTTTGTCATTTGCAGGAGGCAGGAGCTGGTACTACAGCCCCGGTAACCACAACTGGGTGTGTACAGTGACATGGAGTAATTTTCTCTGAGTGTCATGAGGAACTGCTTGTACAGTACGTGTCTTATTTGTCACACAGTGTCGTGCAGACAGGCTGGCACGTAATAAATGTGTCACCGTGTCGTAAGTGTGTCGTGCAGACAGGCTGGCACGTAATAAATGTGTCACCGTGTCGTAAGTGTGTCGTGCAGACAGGCTGGCACGTAATAAATGTGTCACCGTGTCGTAAGTGTGTCGTGCAGACAGGCTGGCACGTAATAAATGTGTCACCGTGTCGTAAGTGTGTCGTGCAGACAGGCTGGCACGTAATAAATGTGTCACCGTGTCGTAAGTGTGTCGTGCAGACAGGCTGGCACGTAATAAATGTGTCACCGTGTCGTAAGTGTGTCGTGCAGACAGGCTGGTATTTATCTTAATTTACTGACACTGATTCACTTTTATTAGTTTCGTGTTTATGCTCCAATAATTTCATTTTGGGTAGAAAGTTAAGCATACTTCCTCTTAGGAAACTAAATATTTTTCGTACAGGGTCTGCGATATATCTAATTTAGCATATCGTAAGAAATTTTACACTTCACTAGCACTAGGAAAAGGACAGAAAAGTATAGACTAGCTTCACAAACATCGAACATCATAAAAGTCTTTCAGAGGATCGTAAAACGTCAATTTACTAGTTTTATAGAAACTAGCTTGACACTTTAAACGAGGACGTTTTTAGATCAGGAAGATCGTATCTCTAGTAACTAATCCATCACAATGAGTAACTCACGAAGTCACTGGATGAAAACAAAAAAGGCAGATGCTGCATATCGAAATTTCTACCAAAGCATCTGACAGAAGTAACCATGAAGTGACAGCTCATAAAAGATCCAGAGAAATATCGGGTCCGTTTGTAAAGTGGATAGTCAAATATCCGTTAACATAATCCACAAACAGGGACGGAACATAAAGGGTAATATAGTCTGTGTTCAAAATTTAAAGAGGTGAATTTACAACAGCTTCGTATCATCTTTCAGCGGAAGATTCGGGAGTGGGGAAGTTGCTTAAGTGGAAAACGCTGTTAAGGTCGGGTAAAAAAAAAAATATCAACAAGGGCTTCCACTGACAAACGGGAAAAATAATTGTGTCCAACGAAGACAGATTCTAAATACTTCAGATGAAATGGACTAAGCACGAGAAAACGAAGAACAGGAAACAATGTACATGACGCAATCAAATCTTTTCATAGAATATTAATAATAAGACAAATATAAAGGAACATCAGAGGACCAGAGAACTAAATGTTTGGGAGAAGATACTTAGCAGTGGGATGATGAATCTTTTTTTTTTTTTTTTTTTTTTTTTTTGACGGCCACATATCCATTCTGGTACTCGATGTTTCTTCCAGGTCCCTCCACTCAACCACTCATTATATTTTACTGGAAAGCGTTAAACCCTTAGGGCTCACGAAGCTCCTTGGAAATAGGAATTAACCAGATTTGATCTGAAAAAGGGAAGAGTAGTTCCAATTCCTTGGCTTAAGAGCCTTACACCAGCATCAAGGCATCTACCCTTGAAGGCATTCTGCTCCCCGGTCTCTAAGATTTTAAGAACATAAAAGATGAAGCACTACCGTAGGACTACTGACCCATACAAAACAGATCCTACTTACATCTCACTCAGCGACAGTGCTATATGACCTTATGGGTTTAGTGCTTAGTTATGATGATGATAATAATAATAATAATCTCACGTAATATATCTCTACAGTCTCTTCTGGGAGCTAATAGAACCAAGGATTCGGAGAAGATTCAAATTCTTTTCAGTTTCACACACACACACACACACACACACACACACACACACACACACATATACGTACGTGGCGAGGTGTCAGAGTGGGCACCTGTGACCAGCGGGGTCCCACAGGGATCAGTCCTAGGACCAGTGCTGTTTCTGGTATTTGTGAGTGAATGACGGAAGGAATAGACTCCGAAGTGTCCCTGTTTGCAGATGTGAAGTTGATGAGAAGAATTCATTCGACCGAAGACCAGGCAGAACTACAAAGGGATCTGGACAGCTGCAGACCTGGTCCAGCATTTGGTTCCCGGAGTTCAACCCCACCAAGTGCAAAGTCATGAAGATTGGGGAAGGGCAAAGAAGACCGCAGACGGAGTACAGTCTAGGGGGCCAGAGACTACAAACCTCGCTCAAGGAAAAAGATCTTGGGGCGAGTATAATAACACCAGGCACATCTCCTGAAGCGCACCTCAACCAAATAACAGCTGCAGCATATGGGCGCTTAGCAACCCTCAGAAGACCTTTCCGACATCTTAATAAGGAATCGTTCAGGACCCTGTACACCGTGTACGTTAGGCCCATATTGGAGTATACAGCACCAGTTTGGAACCCACACCCAGCCAAGCACGTAAAGAAACTAGAGAAAGTGCAAAGGTTTGCAACAAGACTAGTCCCAGAGCTAAGAGGTATGTCCTACGAGGAGAGGTTAAGGGAAATCAACCTGACGACACTGGAGGACAGGAGAGATAGGGGGGACATGATAACGACATACAAAATACTGAGAGGATTTGACAAGGTGGACAAAGACAGGCTGTTCCAGAGATGGGACACAGTAACAAGGGGACACAGTTGGAAGTTGAAGACACAGATGAATCACAGGGATGTTAGGAAGTATTTCTTCAGCCACAGAGTAGTCGGGAAGTGGAATAGTTTGGGAAGCGATGTAGTGGAGGCAGAATCTATACATAGCTTTAAGCAGAGGTATGATAAAGCTCACGGTTCAGGGGGAGTGACCTAGTAGCGGCCAGTGAAGAGGCGGGGCCAGGAGCTTGGACTCGACCCCTGCAACCTCAACTAGGTGAGTACACACACACACTCCAGCTCTCTAGATTACATGTAATAGATTTCGAAGGTCACCGCTCCTGAGGCACCGAGTCGAACTGCTGCTGTTATCCATCCCAGCTAGTGGATGAAGTGTAGAGAGATCACGCTGCTGTTATCCTCCAGCTGGTACACAATGTCTGAAGGTGAGGCCGTAGTAACGAAGGATGAAGAGACACGCAACGGCTGGATTCATATTTTTATTTATCAAATAATATCGGATAAACAAGTCATTTTAGAAAAAATGAACATAAACTCAGGCATGAATATCAATTATTATTATTATTATTATTATTATTATTATTATTATCGTCATAATCATAACCAAGCGCTAAACCCGTAAGGGTCATACAGCGCATGAATCTCAAGAATGCAGCTACACAGAAGTGAAGTGAGAAAGGGACACATGTCGCAGGGCGAGGTTTTGTTGGCACAACGTTTCACTCTGTTAGAGCTTAATCAGCCTATCATAACTTGATCAGTATTACATGCAACGAGTGCAACAGCGAGTATTCGTTGTATTGCGTCGTTAAGCTTCTTGCAGTTGGGTATTCACTACGTATTCAAGTGCATAGCGTACCACAGTACAAGTTATTTAGGTCAGCTGTAAGCACAGTACTCAGGGTGGTGGTACACGACCCTGGCTGCTTGGGTTGGGTGACTGTTGGGAGCTGTGGTTGTCAGTCACACGGGGAAGGGTTAACTGGGTGAATCATTACTACACTCAAACCTATGTGCTAAACACACAAGGGTCACACAACCCTCGTTTGTGAAACATTCTGTCTACTCAGACCTTCTCAGGCCGACAGCTGGCTCACACATGCACTCTTTATGAGCGTGCAGTCACTGTTGCAGCTAATAGATTAACTTTCAATATTATACTTTGTTAATTATTTACCTATAAACTGGCTTGTTGTTTACTTAATTCATGTAGTGTAAATACACCTAAGTACTTTTTGGTGATGGAACATTGTTAAAAAGTTCATATTAAGCCTACATTATTTTGTTCTTGACTTATTATTGAATTTTACAAAAGGTTTGACCCTCCAACTAGAGCTAGAACCCCGAGCGTCTCAGACGGGAGACGCGAGTCACCACAAACCCATACATATAGTGGGATGTTCCGTGGAATATAACACAGCCTGGTACTGAAGCCCTGCTAGGAAAAAAAATGTCCGTTCTAACAGAGGAAAAGTTTTTTCCAATAAAAGCTTTCCCTGCAACGTCTCTTTTCTTTTAATAATGTCAGCAGTAGTCACTGGAATACGTCTAGAGTGTCAGCAACGACGTAGTCTAAACCAGGTTTCGTAATTGGTTTATAGTACGACTTGAACAAGGGAATGTGACGAAAATTGTAATGTTAAGAGCAACTTACAATGAGACTTGGATGGGGATGAGAGTGAAATGTGTGGCGAGTGATGAGAGAACATAACTGACGTAGACAGAGGTAGAAGTTGATTCTCGGGGAGTCTTAAGATGAAGACGGCAACCCACTCTACTCTGGAGGAGGACATCATCCTACTCAAACACTGGAGGAGGACGTAATCCCACTCAGGCACTGGAGGAGGAAGTTATCCCACTCCACTTTGGGATAGGGCATAGTCCCACTCCACCTTAGGTTCGGCACTCTACCTTGAACACGACACTTATGGCTGGAATTCCGATGTTACTCTTAATGTTCTCTGTGAACTTCTAACCTGACATCATCTCCATGAACTCTGTAAACAAGAAAAAAAGAGAAAGATAGGCAAAAGTGAAACTAAAGAGGTGATAGAGCAACAGAAGAGGAAAGCAAAACAAAATAATGACGGTATTTAAAATGCGAAAGACTACAATTATTTATTGACATAATTCTCAGAATTTCTTGAATGTCTAATCTATTTATGGGTTCAGCGTTCTTTTTAATAAAATAATTATCTTTCATGTAGAGCATGTGTAAAACATGTATAGAACATGTATAATAATATTTATTTCTACAGGTACATGATACAACTTATACAGACCATAGAAGACATACTATATAGAAAGTCCCTGATTAAGCAAAGCACTTTGGGAAAATTAGGTTAATTTCGGCCCCAGGATGCAACCCACACAAGTCGGCTAACACCCACGTACCTACTTATTGCTAGGTGAACGGGGACAGCAGGTGTCTCAAAGAAACACAGCCCAATGTTTCCACTCATACCAGGGATCGAACCACTGACATCAAGGTGTGAGCTACAGGACACATGTGTAGACCATGTGTAAAATATGCATAAAACATGTATGGAACATGTGTAGAATATGTTCTGTGCAGTGTTCTTGCGAAGAACACGAGCAAGTTATAACAAAGTTCGTCAGCCTCTACAAGTTAGGATTTTCTGGATAATACTTCAAGGTGTATACCTTGATGCTGGTGAACAGGACCTTCATCCAAGGCCCTAGAGCTACCCTTCTTTCCTCAGATCAAACCTGATTACCTTCCATTTCCCAGATGTATAACCCCTACTGATTTAGAGCTTCCCCCAATAAAAATAATAATGTATTTTGGATAAAATAATAATATTATTATTAGTATTATTATTATTATTTGAAAACAAACGCTAAGTTCTCTGGGAAATATATTTCCAAGACTGTCAGGTTTGATCCAAATGAGGCCTGGTCACAACCGGGCCGCGGAGGCGTTGATCCCCGCATCCCTCTCCAGGTATACTCTCCAGGTATGGGTAGCTCCATTTCCTCGAATGAAGATCCCTTCACCATCCATCTCTCTCTCACCATCAAAGTCGAGAGTGCCAGATCCATCCTCGTCCACCTCCTCAATGATACCGTCCAAGTCAGCCTCCGTCAACCTGTTGTCCAGCTCTCGCAGGATCTCCCTCAAGACGTCGGTGGTGATGTAGCCGTTGCCTGTACCACACACACCAAACAATGAAGGTTAGGTTATAGAAGCTGCATCTGCAATTACCTATTTGCACCTACAGGAGCAAAGCTATACTTCTGGTGTCACGTCAAAACTCAACTTTATTAAAACTTTTCAGTGGTTGTTGCACTTACCACCACCGTGTGTAGATGAAGCAGTGTAAACAGTAAGTGTAGGTCACGGAATGTAAGCATTTTTACGGTGAATATAGAGTATAGAAGTTGTGTTCATGCTGTTAAAACAGCGAACGTAGATTATACAAGCTGTATTTACGTAGTTAGGAAACTCGAAACAGTGTATGTAGGTCATAGAAGCTGTTTCTTTGAAGTTAAAGCAGTGACTATAGGTTATGGAGACTATGCGTATTTGAAAAGGCTTTAAATAATTATAATGATAATAATAATATTACTGTATAATCATAATAATGTTTGAACTATTCCAGTGCATAACAGGTTCTTGTGCAAATGTTTAACAGACTTCATATTATGAAGGTATTGTGAATAAACCTTTTCACTTGGAAAATAATGTTATCTTTGATCTAAGACATTTAAACAATACTTGGGTATCTGTATCGATGAAACGTTTCGATCAACGAAATAACATTTACGCGGAACCGTCTCATTCAGCTACTAGACTTTCATTTAAATTATCCGAACAATAAAATCATTTCCTATCATGGGTGCAGCCGAGTTTTCAGAAAATAGCCAATTTCCCCATTGATGTTTTGTGATGTAGAGGCAGTTGACTACAACATAGCTTTCTGTCTATGTGCTTATGACTAGAGACTCATCTATGGTGTGACTCTCCAGAAATGGTTCAGAGAACCGACAACTTGATAAACTAGACACATGTGCAACATTTGGGTATATTTATTGTGGAAACGTTTCGCCAGCCAGTGGCTTCCTAGTCCAGTACAAAGAAGAATGGTTAGACGATTAGGAGTAGTTTGAGGTAATCAGTCCTGAGCCTGGAGTCGACAACAAAGTATATAGTAACCTATACAATACCTAGATGAAGAATTAAACACATGATAAAGCCACTGGATGGTGTACCGTGGTGTATCGTCAGGTTAATGACTTGACTGAAATGTACAATTTATATGTACAACTGTATTTACTCATTTGTAATTGTACTGGTATATGTGGAATGACCTTATCCTGACCTGTCTTAGTTTGCGAGGGATGAGCTCTGAGCTCCACCTGGTGACTGTCGACTTTTGTTATTATTTTTTGAGCCTGTGTTCAGACTGCTTCCAGTGGGTTGCTTATATTAATCACTGCTATATTGAAGAAATATATTCGAATATTTTTCTCTGACTTCCAGCCATATTCTCTTGTTCCTGATTCTTTCACTGTCTACACGGTTTATGTCCCTGAATAATTTTGATGTCGTGATCAAATCCCCTTTTGTTCTTTGTTACACCTGAAAAATTAGGGTTATCACTTACATTCTTCCTTCCTCGGATATAATATTCAACTCAATGTTTTGTGTTTCACTTTGTGTTGAAGTGGGTGATGGCTCCACACAGGCGCTACACACTCAAGAATGGATTGAAGGTGTGGTGCAATAGGTGCTTTGAACGTGTTTATGAACGTGTCTTGCTTATGTTTCCCAGTGCCGATCTTATGTTTACAAGTTGTTACCTTCATGTTGGACTCAGGGGGCAAAATTTGAGAATTAATTTTGAAATGGCTCATTTCCATTAGATTTTTCCTCTAATAAAATATATAATTTTCGCTCTGTTTACATTTTCTTGCTTTACAACTTTATTTTCCTCGAATTCAAACACAAGTAAGCATCTATCGGACAATTCCCCCCCCCCCAAAAAAAAATAATAATCCAGGTCTTTCTGCAACATGACCTGGTATGTCTTGAGTCTTTACTGTACTTAAATGGTTGAATATTCTAATGTAATCGGGCCTAGTTATACAGTTATTACTTCGCATCTATAGACTTTTAAGACAAAACAGACGTACTTTATTTACAGTTTGGGAAAATCAACTAATCACTCGGTCTTCTTAATAGATTTGAATGACCTGCACCTCCTCTGGAATTCTGGTAGTGTATGTGTATGTGCGTAAGAGGAAATTTTCATTGGCAGTAACTTTTAAACAACTTACCTCCCTTGTCGTAGATACGGAAGGCCTCTTTCAGCTCTGCCTTGAGAGCCTCCTCGTCCTCCTCAATGAGGAACTTAGCGGCCAGCTCCACGAACTCCTCAAACTCCAGCTCGCCGGATCCTGAAGGAGTGGAAGCATGTCAGGTGAAGTCTAGGGTGTGTATCACACACATTGCACGAAGATACTAGTGGAAGGGCGTATCCCCGCAACTCTGTGCACTGAATGTTTAATGTGAGTGTGGGGATTTTGATAACATCAATATACTGCGTAAGGTCTTCAGTATATGTCTCCTCTATATACATTCTCTTTTAATTGTGTTTGTCTATTTTTTTTCTCGTGCTTGTGACAGGGCATACACCACCCCATCCTTAGTCTCTTCTACTTGCCTCTGTTTTTGTCCCATCAGCGAGAAGTAGAAGAGACTAAAGGAAGGGTGGTGTATGCCCTGACACAAACACCAGAAAAAAAAGGTAGGTAGACAAACACAACGAAAAGAAAGCGTGCATGCAGGGGACATATACTGAAAACCTTAAGCAGGATATTGATGTTATCTACACAGAAGAACTGAATTATAGTCTAATTTTCGCTACTTACCTCTAGACTCTCGAGTCGCTAGACACGCCTCTCACTCCCTCCAGCAGATTTATTGCCTGACAAATTGAGTAAGAGAGTTACTATGTAGTATTGAAAAAAACCACCTATATGAAAATTTATTGTAAACGAGAAAAGTAGAGCTTGGAATCTTAAGTACCGCTGCCATTATTATTACTATTGCTACTATTGGTAATAGTAGCAACAGTATTAGTTGTTCCAGACTATTACTACAGCTACTAGTAGATGTATTAATACTACTACCACTGCAACTGCTGTTAATACGTTTACTACTACGACTGCTACTGCTATTACTATTTTTACAATTACTATTACTATTCACGGGGATCTTGACGTCACCTTTCTATTACTATTACTCTATTTCTACTGGTGCTAGAAGGTGTACTACTACTACTACTAGAACTACCACTGCTACTATTACAACTACTATTACTATCACGGAATCGCTACTTCACCTTTCTACTACCACTTACTATATTACTACTGCTACTAGTACAGTTATTACTACTATTAATACATTTACTTGTTACTGTTACTACTCACGGAGATCTCTAATTCAAATTTGCCCCATCAGTACTTTCATCAGCAACACTGCTGAGAGAGAGAGAGAGAGAGAGACTGAGAGACTGACTTCAACAAATACTGCCCCACTAATATACAAGACAACTTTTGAATTGTTACTGTCTGCTCATCACTACTGCTAAAATTGGTGAAAATGAAAACAGCAGAGCAGAATATCTTAGTTATCCCTAAGACTTGGATTTCTGATCATATCTTAATAAACGTGGATTTTGGAATATGTCTTACTAAGTTCATAGGGCTCGAAATATCTTTAGTTTAGTGAGGAAAAGACGCAGGTTTTATAAGAAAGTTTCAGTGGGACAGTGTTTCGCTCTACTTTATTGGTCAACGTTTTGCTCTGTGTAGAGATTTATCAAGTCATGACTTGATAAAGCTCTACGTTGACCAATAAAGTTTATTCCACAACGAGTATTGAGAAATAAATTAAGGTTATTGCTGTTATAATAATAATAATAATTATTATTATTATAGCTTAGCTGCTACAACGAAGGGGACCTTGATGTTGTAGAAGGGCTCTTGATCTAAAGAACAGAGGCTATCATCCCTTTCCAGTGTTCCAACCTGATTACCTCCCATTTTTCAGCATCTGTATGGGTCTCATCCTCAAGGGTTCAGAGCATCCCTAATGGTTACAGCAACAATGCATAACTTCGAGCAGGACCACCTTGAATGTGGTCCTCGAAGTCCACTACAAGGACCGCCTTAACTTGTGCTTCAAAGTCCCCTTCGAAGACCACTTTTGCTTGAGCTTCGAAATCCGCTTTGAGGGCCACCTTAGCTTGAGGTCAAAGTCCACTTCGAGGACCGCCTTAGCTTGGGCTTAGAAGTCCACCTCAAGGACCGCATTAAACTGTGCTTTGAAGTCCACCACTTCTACTTACCATCTTCGTCAGTCTCTGCGATGACCTCCTGAAGGTTCTTTTCAGAGATCTTGATGCCCATCATCCGCAAGATGACGCCCACGGTCTCCGGGGTGATGTAGCCTTTATTGTCAGTGTCGAAGGAGTCGAAGGCCTTCTTGAGAGCTGGAACACAAAGATGGTGTTATATTGTGTGTGAATATCGTTGTCTACGCTTCCAGACTGACGCAGTAATTATAAAAATAATATTTAAAAAGTAATAAGTGTACAAGAGATTAACTTGTGACAACTAAATTATAAAACATTTAGGTAAATAACCGAAATAAGTTAATAAATATATTAACTGATAAATAAGTTCAATTAAAAAGTTAAACTAAAGATTTTTGGAAAACTTAAACATGTCCAGTAGTTAGTTATGATAAAGCAGATAGTCCAGTAGTTTGTTATGATAAAGGGGATAACTAAATAACAAGTTATGATAAAGGAGATAAAGCAAATAAGAGTTAAGGCTGTTTCGACACAAAATAAATTGTCGGAAATAATAAGAGAATTTGTGGGATATAAGTTGCATTTTCAGAAGATGGCAAAATGCACTTCCGGGAGATGGTAAAGTGTACTTCCGGAAGATGACGAAGTGTACTTCGGGTAAGAAATTGGCAGCTCCAATGGTGCAAAACAGAGGACGAAAAAGTGACAATAAGAGAAACGAACAAAGAGAATCAGTCACTGAATAAAGAAGATAATCAGTCACTGAATAAAGAAGATAATCAGTCACTGAATAAAGAAGATAGTCAGTCACTGAATAAAGAAGAGAATCAGTCACTGAATAAAGAAGAGAATCAGTCACTGAATAAAGAAGAGAATCAGTCACTGAATAAAGAAGAGAGAGAATCAGTCACTGAATAAAGAAGAGAATCAGTCACTGAATAAAGAAGAGAATCAGTCACTGAATAAAGAAGAGAATCAGTCACTGAATAAAGAAGAGAATCAGTCACTGAATAAAGAGAGAATCAGTCACTGAATAAAGAAGAGAATCAGTCACTGAATAAAGAAGAGAATCAGTCACTGAATAAAGAAGAGAATCAGTCACTGAATAAAGAAGAGACACATTTTTAAGCCTATTTCTTGTTACTAGAGATTCTTTGACACTGGTGAGGAGCTCGTGATCCAAGGAAACTGAGGTCACCATCCCCTCCCTCGGATCAGAACTCACCAGCTCCCAGTATGCAGGTGATGTAAGACTTATCAGGTTTAACGCTTACTCAGCAGTATAAAAAAAAAACGAGTTTTTTGTGTCAACTCAAAAAATTCCACAAAATATAAAAAATAATTATAAAAAATTATTTGGGGAAAAATGACTAATGTAATAAATGTTGGTGGAAAGACACATGGAAGAAAAACTTAAAATTTACAAGGTTTATTCTGGGTTTTATTAAGGTGTAACTTAGTTTATGAAGCCTCGGTGAACTAAACCGTGTGTGTGTGTGTGTGTGTGTGTGTGTGTGTGTGTGTGTGTGTGTGTGTGTGTGTGTGTGTGTGTGTGTGTGTGTGTGTGTGTGTGTGTATGTATGTGTGTGTGTGTATGTGTGTGTGTATGTGTGTGTGTGTACTCTCCTATTTGTGGCTGCAGGGGTCGAGACTCAGCTCCTGGCCCCGCCTCTTCACTAACCGCTACGAGGTCCTCTTTTCCTCTGCTCCATGAGCTTTATCATACATCTTAAAACTATGTATCGATCCTGCCTCCACTACATCACTTGCCAGACTATTCCACTTCCTGACAACTCTGTAACTGAAGAAATGCTTCCTAATATCCCTTTAACTCACCTGACTCTTCAACTTCCAATTGTGTATGAGTGTGAGAGAGAGAGAGAGAGAGAGAGAGAGAGAGAGAGAGAGAACTTATGTAAAGTGATATATTGATACACTTTGCGTATGTTCCAGCTATGCAGCATTGTGGATTAGATGTAAATTGTCCCGACCCTCAGTATAGTGACCAACTTCCTTCACATCAGACACACAATGAAAGCTGAGAAGAGATCATGAAAAATATTGGTATTACTCAAATAAGGTGATGAATATCCGTAATTTTGACAGAATAAAAAGGCCTTTGATTATTATTATATCAACGGAGAAGCGTTAAACCCGTAAATGTGATATAGTGCGTGGTGTACGAGGTGGAGGGTAGATACAGTAATCTGGACCAAGAGCACTTCACCGAGATCACGGCAGCTCCAATAAAAAGAAACATAGCCAGGTGTGGTGGAATATAGCAGGGAAACATAGCTAGCTTTTCTTCCCACTGTAACCATGGCACACAGTAGGGCAGCAACACATTGCTGATGTATCCAATTTTGATAGATATATATATATAAAAAATATGATTATTGATGGTATTCAATACTGACAAGTTAAGGAATAAGACACATGTTTAACTCTTAACGTTTCGTTTGCACAACAGGATCTTCAGTTGAATACAAGCGAATATAACTCCTAAGACAGTTTTATTATGTTGATAACAAAAAAGGCACAATTCCGTGACTGGAATACACAGATAACCTGCACATAGAAGAGAAGAACTAACGACGACGTTTCGGTCCGACTTGGACCATTTACAAAGTCGTCGTAAGCTCTTCTCTTCTATGTGCGGGTTATTTGTGTTTTATTATGTTGATTAGAGAGCAAGATAGATGCAAACAGCCATCACAACACTGAAGAGTACTTGGGGAAAACAGTAGATAAGATAAGATAAGATTTCGTTCGGATTTTTAACCCCGGAGGGTTAGCCACCCAGGATAACCCAAGAAAGTCAGTGCGTCATCGAGGACTGTCTAACTTATTTCCATTGGGGTCCTTAATCTTGTCCCCCAGGATGCGACCCACACCAGTCGACTAACACCCAGGTACCTATTTGCTGCTAGATGAACAGGACAACAGGTGTAAGGAAACGTGTCGAAATGTTTCCACCCGCGGGAATCGAACCCGGGCCCTCCGTGTGTGAAGCGGGAGCGTTAGCCACCAGACCACCGGGCCTGGTTGAGTTACATTTATTCTGAAATCCGTATTAAGTATTACAAAAGGATTTAAAATTTTAATGCTTATAGTCAGGAATAAATGTGTGTTCTTGTGTCGTGCAGTTGTGTGCGAATGTTGGTGTTGGGGGAGCGTGGGGAGCTTACTTGGCAGTTTAGTATAGAGGTGGGGAAGGGTGGGCAGTTTAGGCTACAGGTTAATATGTTGGTACGAAACATGGGCAGTTCAAGCTACAGTGGTAAGAAACGAATAGCTTGGTCCATAGATCACTGTAGGGTGGAAAGTGTGTGATTCAGGCTACAGTGAAGTGTGAGGGAGGGAGGGAGGAAGGAAGGGGGGGGGGCAGTGGCTGGCAGTGGGCAGCTTGATGGAGGTTGGGTCAGGGGCTGCCCATACAACAACATACATACCACCAAGTTGTTCTTCGTCCAGGGTGTCCTGCAATGGTACTTAAGGTCAGCAATGTTACCTCTTCTATAAGTTGGGAAACTAATAAAATTGCATAATATAGCAACATAAATCAGAAAGGCAGTACATATTTATTGCAACAAAACTATGATATGAATGTAAATAAAAGAACGTAAAAGAAATGATGTTAATAAAAAGTTAAACGAAAATCTAATTTTATTTTTTTATCTCAAGCAAAATCTAAGCAAAGTCAAACAGAATAATAGTAATACTAAATAATAACAACAGCAATAATAATAATAATAAAATCATAATTGGACATATACACTGACCATTTACGTTAAGTAAATGCTTTTTTCTTTTTTTAGGTAATAAAGCAAAGTAGATATTAGTGTTAAGGTAAACGAGCAGACTATATGCAATTGAGGTATATATCTTTCTCGGTGTACGAGGTGCTATCTAAAAGTTCCTGGACTGCCGCAAAGAAATATATTGGCTTACGTAATCACCTAGTTAAAGTTGTCTCCCTGGAAGTATACTCACCTTGGGAGGCTATACACTGATCCCAGTTCCTCTGACACTTCTACAAACATTTCCGGAACTCTTCTTTCCTAACGGCGTCTAGCATGGCTTGTGAGTCTGCTTGAATCTTCTCCACGTCGTTAAAACGCCGCTCCTTCAGTGCTATTTTTATTTTTGGGAAGAGGAAGAAGTCACAGGGAGCTAGATCTGGGGAGTAGGTTGAGTGGGGGACGACTGTCATGTTGTTTTTGGCTAGAAAACAATGGTCTTCATGGTTTTGAGTCAGCAAGTCGAACACAGATATCGCAGCCACTCGCCTCGTATTGAAATTTTCAGTTAGATGATTTGGCACGACCCATAAGAAATTCCCACAACACTGGCAATGTCCTGGATAGTCTGACGACGATCTTCCTGAATAACCTTCCTAACTTTTTTCAATGTTGGCTTCTGTTTATGAGGTTGATGAAAGACCAGAGCGTTCATCATCCTCAGCTGACCTTCGTCCTGCTTCGAATCGAGAAAACCAATCGAAACACTGTTTCCGATCCATTGCTTCGTAGTCAAATGCTTGCTGAAGAATTTTGCGAGTTTCAGTAACCATTTTACGGAGCTTGAAACAGAATTTCACACACACGCTGCTCTTTCTTTCAGAGATTCCATTCTGTTATAAAAAAAATAGCAGCAACGCACTGACAATACGACAAAAAAAGATGCCCGTCTACCCTCAACGGAATGACCGAACGCACTGAAACTCGCCAAGCTACTTCACAAAGGAGAGTACAGAGCAGTGTGATATACGCCACCACCATATTTCCTCCAAAAAGCGCACGAAAATTAGAGTACAAGAACTGTTTTGATAACACTTCATATATGCTGAGAATTCACCTTAGTCCCTGCTGTATTGACCAGGGTATTCTTGACTCGTGATCAACATGACGGAAGCATGTGGACGGGCTTTAAGACACTCGGCCACCCTAGGTGACTTTCAGACCTAATAACACTTACATAGTCCATGGCCAATGCTAGACAAGCTTAACTTATTAGCTAACTAAATAAAAGAACAACGAATATATACAGGGAGAGGAGTGTATGTGTTTGTAAACTTACGTTCAATTGAGATTATAGTTAGCAAGGCTATAGTTAACAAGGCTATATATAGTTAACAAGGGGCTATAGTGAACAAGGCTCAGAGTTAATAAAACTATAGTTCTATTAACTATAGTTAACGACCCTCGTGAAGCCGGCAAGACATAATTTGCGAATAAATTAATAAGAAATAAGAACACAAGTCGACGAGACGGAAGGGGCACTGCAATAGGCCTACTGACCAATGCTAGACAGGTTTAACTATACACCAAAAAGTGTGAATCGCTCAGTATATATACACACACTGAGAGCTGTGTATTAGTATACATACATCAACGGCTGTTTATAGCAATGTGAATATATATATATATATATTATATATATATATATATATATATATATATATATATATATATATATATATATAAAACGTCTTCTCACCTGTCTGAAGCTCTTTCTACACTGGAGGAGTTGACTGGATTAACTGAGCTTCAGTTAATAGACTAAATAAGCAAAAACACCATGAACTGTCAAGGCTGAGGAACCATCCCAACAACCTCGCAACTTCTTCGACCGTCTCAAATATTTATTCTCTGTAGTGAATGCAGAAGCCTTCCCATGAGAGCCAGTTACTATTTTATACGCGAAAAGGTTTACAGGAGTTCATCTGGATTTATATCTGAAGTTCCATACAGAGCGAAACACTGACACAATAAAAGCTTCCTATGAATCTGTGTTTTCACAAAAATCAGCAACAAGAGATTTCTGCTGACGAGGAAAAAGTGAAAACAGCGGCAGACAGTCCCATGGGACGGAGTTACGAGCTGAAAAATGGGTCGAATTGAGAGCTCACTCACCATAGTGACAAGTGTAGAGGGAAGCAACTGCTGCCGGGACGACTGTGAACACAACAGAACCTCACTTAGATATGAATCACAGGACTCGTCCACCTCCGCTTTTTAAAGCCCGTCAACTGGGAATTCCCGAGCAAACCTCCTCTTTCCCCCCAATCTCCTCATACCATGTCCCCTCCCAATCACCCCCCCTCACCCCTTCCAACCAACCAACACCCCTCAGTTGACCCCTCTCTCCCTCCCATCCCCCACCCCGTCAAGACCCACACCTCACACAAAATCTCGGTCGCAAAAATCTTACAGCTGTTTTCCACCCCATGTGATTTTCAGCACTGGCCACCCGCGTCCACCAGGTCTTGTCACCTCAAACACCCGGAGCACTGGTCAAGACCTTCCTAGAATATTCTAATCACGATGATTAGAATGTTCAGTTGGCAAGGAAACAGTGGGCGTGCACGCTTCTAGCCTATTACTAACACCAGCAAAATCAACCAAATTATACAAGCAATGGTGACGTTATCCCGAACGCTGATCAATATGACTATATTAGGGGATAAGTTGTCGTCGTAATGATGCGAGTTTCAGTTGCTGCTTCATCCGAGAAAGGCATCCCCAGTAGCTCACAAGCCCAGCCTCTTCTACCCTAATGCCCGCAGCATTAATTGCGCAGGATTTATGAAGTAACAAAATATAAAAATATATATGAAAGTTCACGTGTGTGTGTGTGTGTGTGTGTGTGTGTGTGTGTGTGTGGTGTGTACTTGCCTAGTTGTACTCACCTAGTTGTGGTTGCAGAGGTCGAGTCACAGCTCCTGACCCCGCCTCTTCACTGGCTGCTACTAGGTCACTCTTCCTGCTCCAGGAGCTTTATCATACCTCCTTTTAAAGCTATGTATGGATCCTGCCTCCAATACATCACTTCCAAGACTATTCCACTTCCTGACAACTCTGTGACTGAAAAAATACTTCCTAACATCGTGTGTGTGTGTGTGTGTGTGTGTATGTATGATTATATATGGCCATTATTTGACATTAGTCAACAAGTGACGTGCAGCCTTAATGACCCTCGTGTAGTCAATAGACTTTAAGTCCAATTAACCAATCAGCAGTTATAAATACATGTGCCAAGGACCAATTACATTCTTGCTCTATCATGAAGATCTGTATGTAATCACCTGGAATAATCCTAAATTATACTATCAATAATTAATTAATTTTTTAGTCACTGAAAGGCTTTAAACCCGTGGGACTGTGATGTAAATCAAGTTTCACCAGAGGGCTATAAGGATACCTCTAACTCCCTTGATCAAGAGCCCTCCGTACTTGTTCATGAGCGGATACGTACGGAGGGTGGACCAGACGAGCAGTACTTCCTGGTTCTTGTACTTGTTTTGCACTTCCTGGTTCGTGTACTTGTTCTTGCTAAGTGCTGTTCCCTTTCCGACCACTTCCCCAATGTCTGTTTAGTATACACCGAGCGGTGTGTATTGTTCGGTGTGTATACACTGTGAAGTGTGTATTGTTCAGTGTGTATACACATAGTGTGTATTGTTCAATGTGTACACAGAGGTGTATATTGTTTAATGTGTATACACCAAGTAGTGTGTATTGCTCAGTGTGTATACACGGAAATATATATATATATATATATATATATATATATATATATATATATATATATATATATATATTATATATATATATATATATATATATATATATATATATATATGTCGTGCCGAATAGACAGAACTTGCGATCTTGGCTTAAATAGCAACGCTCATCTTGCCATATAGGACAAGCGAAAATTTGTGTATGCAATAATTTCACCAAAATCATTCTGAACCTAACGAAAAATATATATTTCACTGTGTTTGTTTAGTATTAAATTATTGTAAACAAATCTAAAATATATTTAGTTGAGTTAGGCTAAAATAAATTGTTCTTGTTATAATAAGGTTAGGTAAGTTTTCTAAGATTCTATTGGAGCAAAATTAAAAAAAATTACATTAACATTAATGAAAAAATGTATCTTTAAACGTATAAGAGAAAATTTTAGAAAGGACTTAATTTTAAATGAGTTCTTGCTAACTGACCAGTTTTACATATTCAGCACGACACACACACACACACACACACACACACACACACACACACACACAAACCACACACACCACATATATATATATATATATATATAAATATATATATATATATATATATATATATATATATATATATATCACAGCATATACACTAACTGGTGGTGTACAAGCGTAATAAATAGACTTAAGACCCATAAACCCAACCGTGTAGAATCCGTAGATCATTGAGGTTAAAGAGTGTTTATTGTAAGCTCGATACTCTGCTGACGGCGAGAAAGACACTTTGTAGCAATGCTTTTTCTAGGAGCTGAAAGAACCACTATGGACATAACAATTGTTAATATTATTATTGTTCTCTTATTATTGTTATTATTATTATTACTATTACTATTGTTATTAAAAATCATTATTATTGAAATTATTTTTATCATTACTATAATTGAAATTAATATTATTATTATTTTATTTTTATTATGGATTTGGAAAAGGCGTATGACAGGGTGGATAGGGGGGCAATGTGGCAGATGTTGCAAGTGTATGGTGTAGGAGGTAGGTTACTGAAAGCAGTGAAGAGTTTTTACGAGGATAGTGAGGCCCAAGTTAGAGTATGTAGGAAAGAGGGAAATTTTTTCCCAGTAAAAGTAGGCCTTAGACAAGGATGTGTGATGTCACCGTGGTTGTTTAATATATTTATAGATGGGGTTGTAAGAGAAGTAAATGCGAGGGTCTTGGCAAGAGGCGTGGAGTTAAAAGATAAAGAATCACACACAAAGTGGGAGTTGTCACAGCTGCTCTTTGCTGATGACACTGTGCTCTTGGGAGATTCTGAAGAGAAGTTGCAGAGATTGGTGGATGAATTTGGTAGGGTGTGCAAAAGAAGAAAATTAAAGGTGAATACAGGAAAGAGTAAGGTTATGAGGATAACAAAAAGATTAGGTGATGAAAGATTGAATATCAGATTGGAGGGAGAGAGTATGGAGGAGGTGAACGTATTCAGATATTTGGGAGTGGACGTGTCAGCGGATGGGTCTATGAAAGATGAGGTGAATCATAGAATTGATGAGGGAAAAAGAGTGAGTGGTGCACTTAGGAGTCTGTGGAGACAAAGAACTTTGTCCTTGGAGGCAAAGAGGGGAATGTATGAGAGTATAGTTTTACCAACGCTCTTATATGGGTGTGAAGCGTGGGTGATGAATGTTGCAGCGAGGAGAAGGCTGGAGGCAGTGGAGATGTCATGTCTGAGGGCAATGTGTGGTGTGAATATAATGCAGAGAATTCGTAGTTTGGAAGTTAGGAGGAGGTGCGGATTACCAAAACTGTTGTCCAGAGGGCTGAGGAAGGGTTGTTGAGGTGGTTCGGACATGTAGAGAGAATGGAGCGAAACAGAATGACTTCAAGAGTGTATCAGTCTGTAGTGGAAGGAAGGCGGGTAGGGGTCGGCCTAGGAAGGGTTGGAGGGAGGGGGTAAAGGAGGTTTTGTGTGCGAGGGCTTGGACTTCCAGCAGGCATGCGTGAGCGTGTTTGATAGGAGTGAATGGAGACAAATGGTTTTTAATACTTGACGTGCTGTTGGAGTGTGAGCAAAGTAACATTTATGAAGGGATTCAGGGAAACCGGCAGGCCGGACTTGAGTCCTGGAGATGGGAAGTACAGTGCCTGCACTCTGAAGGAGGGGTGTTAATGTTGCAGTTTAAAAACTGTAGTGTAAAGCACCCTTCTGGCAAGACAGTGATGGAGTGAATGATGGTGAAAGTTTTTCTTTTTCGGGCCACCCTGCCTTGGTGGGAATCGGCCGGTGTGATAATAAAAAAAAAAAAAAAAAATAATTTTATTATTATTATTATTATTAAAAATTATTATTATTATTATTATTATTGTTGTTGTTGTTGTTGTTGTTATTGGCTGGATCAACTCACAAATAACCCGCTGTTTCGATTTCCGAAAATTTCCGTCACGTGACACCTCTTTTGATTTTCTCCTCACCTCCCATCGACACCATGCCTAACCCTTCTAGGGTAGGGTAGGTGCCTGAGCCCGAGCCTTTAGCTCATGAGACTGTCATTCCCATTAGGCCCCTTGGGGCGGGGATGGCAGACCAGAGAGGCCTAGCTTGTGGCTAGGCCTGGGGACAGTTGGCCCCAAAGATGAGGAGGTACTTGTGCCTCCTCCCATGGGAGACTTAGGTCTCAGACACTCCCTAAAGAGGGAGTCAAGGCCGGGCTACCACTTGGAAAAGGCCCGGGCCGGGAGAATACCGGCGAATCTTTAATAATAATAATAATAATAAATCCTCACCTCCATTTGACTTGTTCCAATTTTCTACAGGTAATCTAGTTTTTTCCTAGTTTCTCATAGTTCTCTTAGTTTTTGCTAGTTCTCTCCCATCTATTTCCTAGTTTTCTCCCAGTTTTTATCCTAGTTTTAGTTTTCTCCCAGGTTTCTCTTAGATTTTCCTAGTTTTCTCGCTCATTTGTGAATTGACATTGGGCATTAAGTCTAAAATTTTCTGTATACTATTGGAACTAGGTTAGGTAAGGTAAGGTTTGTCAAGAAGTAGGACAAGGGTTTCATGACGCGGGTCTTAGTCATATGACGACTCGCAGCTGGAGCTTCTGGTCATCCGACCGAGGCCTTCCACTGGCTTACCAGGCCACCCCTTTAAAAATTTTGGAATTAGATTCAGTGGAACTGTTACCATAAAATCATGCTAATAGGTCACTGTGTGCGGTTTATAGCATTCTTTGTGAGAACTAAACACGATGTCAATTTTCACGAGTTATGGTGAGAACTGATCAAGCCCCCGGTCGACGAAATCTCTCACTAATAAACAGCCATATGCCGCGAACTAAGAGTGTCGCTAAATTGTAAATACCAGGGCATTTCCGAGCGGCGATACCGTGCTTCTCTACGTGAGATTTTGTACCTCCCAACACAATTTAGGATGCCGTTTATAATGCTTTACTGAACCTGAAGAAGAGCCACCTCCAGGGTGGGTGAGTTCTGGTTGTTCTGACTGACGGTAGGTATGCTGTCAGCCACACAGCTGAGAGATGCCTGCTGACAGAATATATAGTGTCTGCCTGGGCAAAATATTTCTTTTGTGGAATCATCTCTGACTGAATCTCATTACACAAACGCTGTGTAATCCACAAGGGTTTAGTGCTCAAAAGGAATGTAATAATAATAATTGTAATAACAATAACTATAATAATAATATTATTATTATTATAACTATAATAATATAATTATAGTTATAATTATAATAATAATAGCAATAATACTAGGAATAATGTTTTACGTGGTAGTGCAGTAGGCCAGCTGAAGGCCTCCGGCAAGCAGCCAAATCTCTCAACTGAGCTGGCTGTTATATACGTTCTTGTTTGCAAATGCAACTGCAAAAGTGCGATAAAGACTGTGGGATGTTAATAGTACATTAGAGATGTATCAGATATCCGCATCCCCGGAACATCCGCACAATTTCTTACATCCGCACCCGCAGCCGCATTTTACTGTAAACAGGTAACGGCATCCGCAAAACAAGTAAGACATCTTCATACACATCCGCATCTGCGGATATCTAAATTTTCACGTCCGAAACATCTCTAGAGTACATCATATTTTATTTGGCGTATGCCACACACCCGTATCATAATAATAATCTTTATTTCAACAAGTACATGTTCAAGGTATACAGACCTAGCTGACATCAATGACATACCACTATATAGAAAGCCCCTTGTTATGCTGAGCATTTCGGGCAAATCAGGTTAATTTTGTCCCAAAGATGCGACACACACCAGTCGACTAACACCCAGGTACCTATTTTACTGATAGGTGAACATGGACAGCAGGTGACTTAAGGAAATATGTCTTGATGTTTCCACCCGTACCGGGGATCGAACCACGGACCTCAATGTGTGAGCTGAGTGCGTTAGCAATTGAGCTACAGGACCTCAGGCATTCCCTCCCGACCAGCGAACCAGATACTAAAAGTATAACACGCTGGCTTTTATTCGTTCCTCATTCCTACCTCGGTTATTGTGCTACAACCAGGTGTACAGGCCACAGGACTACACCTGTGTTCGTAATAAAGGCCTATTCAGTTTTGAAAGACCTTCTTCAATCACATTTACAAACACTCGCCCTGTATTCAACAGCCATATGAGAGAGCTTACTGTTACAAAGACTTGCGTAAAAATGTTTTTCTGTTCCCAGGAAGAAGTGGATCCACTCGTTGTGAGGTGCGTAGGCCAGTTATTTATGATAGTAGTTTGTTGTCTTTGCCAGTTGTGTCCTGCAAGCCTTACAAAGATCACACTTTGGGGATAGTAAAAGTGAATACACGTTAAACTTCTTGTATTTTTATTGGAACAGCGTGCATATACAGACGGTGACGATAAACAGTTACTGAGAAAAAGGCCACAGGTGTGGGACCAGCCTAGTGACAACCCTTCGCGAAGCGTCTTCACGGTCAACGCTTGTTCCGTAACCTGTAGCCCCTTTCACATTACTCTGGGCAGCATGCCATCGTATTCAAACACTAACTGTAACAATAACACATATTGGATGCCACTATCTTAGTGTGTGTTCTTGTGACTGAGTCGCAGCCGGAGCCGGACGTTGTAGGAACGTACTTAGAGCCGGTGAAGGAGAGACATCGTACGTTGTGAAACAAGCTTACGACAGCGTTTCTCTGTGTAAAGAAATTTATCAAGTCACACCGCTAACTTGATAAACCACAGGGTGAAACGTTGGCCCAGTAAAACCTTGTTTCGCAGCGTGTGTCTTGTGTTCCTTATTCTCGGTGGTACGATACTTGGATCCCTCATAGCTAGAACCAGTTTTGGTCTTGTCACTTTAAATCAGTTAAATTTCGGTGATAATCATTAATCTGCTTAATCATCTCAGTTGCCAGAAAACAAATGATGAATTTGATATATTTTATAAAACTGAGATTCAGTTTCTCTCGCCACGAAACGTATAAACGATAAGTTTGATACGAACTTACTAACACACACACAGACACACACGCACACAGATCCACTCAACCTTATCATGAGGCCAGAAAGTGAACACTTTTGCGATAATGAAATGATTTGAAAGATGATGTGAAGAAGGGAGAATAAGAGTAGAGCAGAGAGTATGTGATGAAAAGGCATTTTGTGAAAGGTAAACAGTGAGGCCTAGACAGTGTTACCATCCCATGTGTCTCTTACGATAATTTGTGAAGCAAAATGCAGAGTAGTGCATTAAAGTCTCGCTGAAAGTCGAAAATCGATATATACTGAACTTTGAGTTTCGCGCAAAGTGCCCAAGCTCCTGAACACGAAACCGCGTTAAGAAAAGAATGGTAATGAATAGAATTACAAAAATTTGTTCTCTAGAATGAAAGCTTTCGTGGTCTCGAAGAGGTTTGCCTACTCAGAATATCTAGAATTTAAGGTTACTAACTGAAGCGAATGCTTTGTTTATATATATATATATATATATATATATATATATATATATATATATATATATATATATAATATATATATATATATAAGATGTATATTTATTAATGTATTAATTGATGTTTGTATGATGTGCGTCAGTATGCTTATTGTAAACAAAATACTGAGCGGGAATCAATGGGGAGAAAAAACCTTAACATAAATGAAACTGAAATGTAAATAATACCCAAAAAGTTCTTAACCTACAAAGAGACTGAAAACTACTTGTGAACGTAGTTCTGCTAAGCTAAAACACGTTGTTTAATGCGATAAATAAGAAGGCATCAGCAAACGATAAATGAAGCTTTGTACAGTGAACAATCTGTAAGCGATTCATCATGATTTAGGTAGTGAACAACCTACAAGCCATCAGCAGTGGTTCACATAGTGAGCAATATACAAAACAGTTAATATAGTTTCACCCTAAATAAAAAAAAAAGAAATTAATCAGCAATCTATCGGTCAAGTTTCGGTAGTAAACAGTCTACAAAAAAGTCAGCAAGTTTCACCTAAGACTATATAACTTCAACTTATTTTCAGTAAATTCTGGAAGGACAAACGTTTATTATGTCTCAAGGAACAAGTATTCGACAAGCAACAACTCAGATTATAGTGAGTGTCTGTCGTACAAGTGACTCAGTGAGACGGCTAGGGTAAGTGATTTACAAACTATAAATGGTTTCAGGTACCACTGAAACTAAAAATATAAACTACTTTTAGGACATCGATCTTGAAACCATTAACCCATGTGAAAAAAACGAGATGTAGGAGATCTATAATGCTTCAGGAGAATGTGATCTACTTATTTCATTTCCTAGGAGAAAGCTATATACAGTTAAGTCAGTCCTAAAGACCGGAGGAATCAGCAGAAGGGCATATATAAGATTACGCTTTATGTGGGCATACGCGAAGCTTAGGTTACAGAAATATTCCTACCCACCTGGCGTCTTCCTTCATCACAAATTATAAAGTCCATAAGGCTCCTCCGTACATAAAGAAAGCTGAATAATCAAAAGAATATAGAGCATATTAGAGTCTTTGCAGATTAAAGGAAGCCTTGTATAGCTTGTCCTAGAGTCGAGGGTATGCCAGTGTGGTCCTAGTATAAGTAGGCAGAAAAATACTATCATTTTTGAAAAGGGGAGAAAAAGGGGATTTAAATATCACTTCAAATCACGAAATTATAAACAGGAAATCAATAACAGTTCCGAAATAATTGTGTAAAGGAGGAGCAGTGATGCATTCAATCCACTCTGTGGCAAGGAGTTTAGAATTGTTCAAAGTGGAGAAGGTGACGCTGAGGTGCATACATCAATATCAACAGTGAAGGCTATACGCTAATCAAACATAGCACTCTCAAATATGAAGGCAGTGAAATATAAACTTCTTGGAAACCTCCCAGGGGGGGAAAAAATAAATATTAAAATATCGAGTCATAAATATTGCTTGAAGCAGCACGCAGGAATTTTACATGCGAAGCCTTTGAAAAATTCCTGTCAGCCATATAACCTTAAAAAAAAAAGGTCATTGTGAACAAAATCCATTCGAGTTGAAAGCCTATCTGAAATTATTGCGAAGAATTTAACAAGTAATCTCACACACACACACACTCATATACACATGTTTTAAGCACACATAGCAGAGCAACATACGTCAATTTGTAAATTTTCCAATGAGGCGAAATACAAGCTTGTTTGCTTAGAGCCTAGATTATTTATTAGGCTTAAAAAAAAAACACTTATCTATTGCGAGGCAAGAGCCAGCATCGGCTGGGACTACTAACACGAAGACACGGAAACGAGACAATCTATATTAAAACAACGTATCGCCCAAGGAGAGCTCTTGAGCGAAACGTTGTCCTGATAAACACATTTTCAGTCTTCGTATTATTCACCTCAGCTCTCAACCATCGACAAAAACATAAACTTGGCACCTTCTTCACGCAACGAAAGCTCTCATCGCACAGAAAGTCATAAAATAAATCGTGTCTCCTTCGGTTCGAAAATCGACCAGTAGACAAAATATGGGAATTTGGATTTTTTAATGTAGTTCTGGGTCCAACGTGAGCATGAAATAGCTATATTCCTGCCTCTGGCCAGAGACATCTGGGGATCAATTCTCAAGTGAATATTCTAGAAAAAAAAGGGTAAAAAAATATATGGCAATTTAGAAAAATACGAAGTATCGAGAGAAGGGAAGAAACAACAGGTGGGTGGTGAGTTGGGCGATGAGTAGTGGACAGTGGCGACAGACGGTGGCTAGGCTGGTGGTCCTGCTCTCCACCCATCATCATTTAACCAGTCATCATCTTCATGAACTCTGAAAAGAAATTGTTCGTTGAAAGCGACAGGTAGGTCAAAATACCTTAAAAGAAAAAGAGAGATTGGGAGTTCAAAATAGGCTACCAGATGAAGAGAGATATAGTTCAAAATAGATTACTTTTTGAGGTTAGGTTAGTTAAGATTCGTTAGGACACAGGACAGGTGTTTCCTGACGCGGGTCTTAGTCATATGATGACCCACCGCTGGAAATTTTGGTCATTTGATTGAGCCTTCCTGTGGCTTACCTCTCCGCCTTTAAAATTTAAGATTATAAGAGACTGGCGGTTGAAAAGATATTTATATTCGGAGTGTGGCTGTGAGCCCGACTGGTGATGGTAACTAGACACCGAGAGGAGACCATTGATTATTACGACGCTTCACCTATAAGAGACCTGACTCAGTCACAAGTCATATGGGTATTCAGACACGAAAATCAGGGAGAACATTTTTTTTTGTCGTAGATCAAGAGCCCTTTACCTTGAAAGGTTTGAAGCCTATCGACTGCACAAGGGCCCTTGATTACTTAAAATATGAATTAAAAATAAACTCTCAGTGTAGTATATCTAAACTGAGAGATACACATCTCTCAGAGGAGTTACACTTAAATATATACATTCCTCACTGTATATACCCTGATATACACAATTCTCAGTGTATATACCTTCAAGGAAAGAGAGTGGGATACCTTGATGCTGGTGAACGTTTTTTAGTCTAAGTAATTAGAGTTACCCCTCCTCTCGTTGTAAGGCACAATGTAACCCATAAATATAATGATAATAATAATATAATAGCAATAATAATAGTATATCAATAATAATATCAATAATAACTAATAATAATAATGATAATAATATCAATAATAACTTTAATAATAATAATAATAATAATAATAATAATAATAATAATAATAATATCAATTATAACTTTAATAATAATAATAATAATAATAATAACAATGATGATAATAATAATAATAATAATAATAATAATAACTTTAATAATAATAAAAGCAATGATAATAATAATAATAATTCTCTCACCGTTAAAATCGATGGTGCCAGAGCCATCCTCGTCCACCTCATCAATGATAGCGTCCAGGTTATCCTCGGTCAACCTGTTATCCAGCTCACTCAAGATATCCCGGAGCACCTGAGTGGTGATGTAGCCGTTCCCTGCACCCACAAAACTCTCATAAGAACGTGAATAAATAAAGAAGTTTTATATATACGTATGTATATTATTAGATTAAAGAAGGTCCATTATTATTGCAAATTGTTGGACCCATTAGCCCTTAGAGAAGTAGACAAAAAAGGCTAATTACACAAATATATATATTTTATTATGTGATACGGTACACAGTTTAAAGGATACATTTATGGTACAAAAATGTTGGAGTATACAATACGTGAAGTTTGAGGGATACATTACACGGGCACGAATGTGTTTGCTAAATATTTTCAATACAGATATCTCACCCCAGGTCCTCTGAGCTCGTACCCAGGATGCAACAGGCATTGCCACTCTAAACTGAAGAAGGGTATCCTGAAGCGTCCCTTTAGTCTATTTCTCTCACCAAATATACAAGCCAGTGTCTTGTGAATATGATAATATTAGGCATACAGTACCGACAAGTTGGTAAGTCAGACACGTGCGAAGCAGTTAGGTATCTTACTCGAAATAATGCCACCTAACTTTTGCAAATGTGTCTTACTTATTAATCTGGTGACTTACCGCCCTTGTCGTAGATACGAAAGGCCTCTTTCAGTTCTTTTTTCAGCGCCTCCTCATCCTCTTCACTCAGAAACTTGGCGGCAAGCTGAACGAACTCCTCGAACTCAATCTCGCCAGAGCCTAAGGAGGCGATAGAAACTCTGTAAATATTATTTTTATTACATTCCCTCGAAGGGAGGGGGGGGAGAATAAACATGGGTTTGCATCGTATGAGTCGGGTGGCGTCACTAAGTGGTGGGAAGAGTAGCAAGAACCACCCATTGGTGTTCAGTGTTAGAGATGATCGTGTTTACTAACGCAAAGCTCATAGTATATCAACCGATGCTATCTGTAATTTTTAAAGGATGCGGACATTTGAGTCTATGGAAGGCCTCGGTCAGATGACCAAAAGCTCCAGCCACGAGTCATCACATGACCAAGACCCGCGTCAGGAAACAGGACAAGTGTTTCCTGACGAATCTTACCTAGTCTAACCTACTAACTTGGAAGTGTTATTATAGTTATGGACATTAGACCGGTCCACTACAGTGTGGCCACTCAGTGTGCAGTGTATGGTCCAAGTCAAGTGTACAGTGTAATGGGAAATGTTATTAACATTTTAGGATCAAGGAATACTACTTACAATTAAAAATTTAGGCTTAGGAAATAGGCTATTAAAATGACCCAATTTCCTGAAATCTTTTGTCTAATTAGAGATATTGATAGTGTTATTGTAATACATTTTTTCTAAATTATTGGCAATAATATTAATATAAATACATGGACAGTCATTCCAAACTATACCACGGGCGGGGATAGAACCCGCGATCAGAGAGTCTCAAAACTCCAGACCGTCGCGTTAGCCACGCAACGCGACGGTCTGGAGTTTTGAGACTGACCGCGGGTTCTATCCCCGCCCGTGGTGTGGTTTGTTTGCAATCGTGTCATTACGATTTCGTGAGTCATAGACAGTCATTTTAATTTATAAAATAATATGGCACAGTTATTATATATTGATATGGTTACGCAAATAACTCACACATAGAAGAGAGAAACTTATGGCGACGTTTCAGTCCTACCTGGACCATTATATACAAGTTACACGTGTAAATGGTCTAAGTCGGACCGAAACGTCGTGGTAAGCTCCTCTCTCTTATGTGCGAGTTATTTGTGTATTATTCCAGTCACGGTATTGTGCCTTTTTTGTTCTTTATATAATGTTTATTATAATTTTTTCCTTACGCTATGGGACAGATTATATGGCAGAAAACTAAAAAAAAATCACCTCATAAATGGAGTACAATAGTGGCAGGTTGATGACTGGGACACAAGTGTAACAGTATGATACTCTTATTTACGGTACGCTTAGTCTGTATAGTAACCTTCTTCACTTAATTATTTAAGCGACTAAAATATTAACGCAGTGGAGAGGTATAAAGCTGATGTCAGTCCCTCAGCCTTGAGAAACGTTCAGTTTGGTTTCGATCATGGAGCTGGACGCTTCCTAAGGCATCCTCTTTACCTTTCCACTGTTTCTGTTCTCCTTATTTTAGTCAACTGCAGATAAATGGAAAGGATGTGGAATATAGTTTGAACAGTAAATATTTACATATAACAATGGCCTCAAATTTTTTTATTAAACTGCTTCGAAGTTTGCCGTAAGAACAACCTGGAAGTTGGTTATCAGAAGCACATGGAAGTTGCTTATAAGAAGCACTGGAAGCTGACTGTGTGAAACACATGTATCTTGCTTAACATAAGCGCTTGGAAGCTGACTATAAGAAGCACTTAGAAGCTGACTTGCACTTACCATCTTCATCAGTCTCAGAGATGACCTCTTGTAAGTTTCTCTCAGAGATCTTCACGCCCATCATTCTCAAGATGATGCCCACAGTCTCGGGCGTGATGAAGCCTTTGCTGTCCGTGTCGAAGGAATTAAAGGCCTTCTGAAGAGCTGCAAGAAAAAGCTGAGGTCAGAAAATACAAGAGCACAAAGTGTCTAGAGAGATAAGGAAGATAATAGAATGCTGATGTTAGTAAAGAAAAGACACAACTTGAAGTTGATAATGGTATAAATATAGACGAGTTAATTATTAAGGTAAATGTGCAACAGTTGGGTATCTATTGTTGAAACGTTTCGCCTACACAGTAGGCTTCTTCAGTCAAATACAGAGGCAGCAGAGGCAGTAGTGAAATGAAGCTGATGTAATCAGTCCATCAACCCTGAAGAAATTGTATTTGAGGTAGTCAGTCCCTCAGCCTGGAGAAGACTTCAGCTCCATGATCTGGAACGATATCGTTATCCATGGTTGATGGACTGGTTACATCATCTTCATTTCACTGCTACACTTGCTACCCCTTTGCTTGACTGAAGAGACCTACTCTGTAAGCGAAACGTTTCAACAATAAAGATACCCAACATGTGTCTTAATCATCAACAACTTGAATTGTCTAGTATTTAAGAAGTGTGACTTTCCAATAAATATGATAGACAGTGTATATATATTATAAATCTTACTGTATACACTAAATTTCGTTTGTTGGTTGAATGTTTAAAGAAGTTTAAAGCCTATCAACTACGTGAAGGTAATAAACAGATGGTTATGACTATGACCATAATTGTTAAAGAGGCGGACCGGTAATGCAGCGGATGGCCTCGGTCAGATGACCAAAACAGGAAACACTTCTCCTGTTTCCTGACGAACCTTACCTAACCTAACCCTATGTGAGGGTCATTAAGGCTACGTGAAGCCTTCACACCACCTGACAAGAATACTTTAATACCTAAAGTAGAGATTAAACAAACTTTCAGCGTATATACACTGAGAAAAATACATCTCACTGTGCATACATATATACATTTCCTTTTAACCAGAGATTTGTCAGTTTAATACCTGATAAAACCGTTTAAAACGAGACGTATTATATAAACAATGTGCTCTCTCTTCATAGTGTCTATCTACCAATTAAACAAAACAATTACTGTCTTTAAATAAAAAAAACATAGCTTGTGTGTATGTTACGGGATCTTAAAACAAGTGAGACATTCTATTAGTTAGGATTTTAGTAACATTAACACAAAGTAAGACAGAACATGAAGGTAGGTCTACACCCAGCCAACCTCGTAGGTCTAAACCCACACTAGTTTGCAAACCCATTAAAATGTAGACGCAGATACCCTTAAAAGTTTCAATTTTCCAGCCCTTCAAGTGAGGAAGGTGCCATGATGCCAATGGAGGACTTTTAATCAGTGAAATTGAAGCTAGTTTCCCCTTCCATGGTTTGTGAAATTAATAATAAACCAAGTCTTGGGTATGGAAAGTATTAAGCAGGAAGAAATTATTAAGCAGGTAGAATATATTAAACAAGAAGTTATTAAACAGTAAGAAACACTAAGCAAGAAGAAAATATTAAGCAAGTGCAAGAAGATAAACAAACCATCCTGCTTTCTTAAACAACCAAGATTAATTTTATTGTTTTAAAAGCAAAAGTTGGCATTATCCATCTACAGCTTCTGATGTTCACCAGACAAAGAATTGCTCCGGTATTTTGCGTATTACCAGACGTCTCTGCCTCATCTCACCCGCTTCACTACAATAACTAATCGATAGTGTCGATATTGTAATATTTTTATCCTTAACTTTAGTCATAACTTTTGAAGAGATGGAAACATATATATATATAATATATATAAATATATATATATATATATATATATATATATATATATATATATATATATATATATATATATATATATATATATATATAGAGAGAGAGAGAGAGAGAGAGAGAGAGAGATAGACATATAGATAGACAGATTAGATACATAAGACATGGGTAACATTTTATAATCACCGAGGTGTGCGTAGAGACCTCGGTGATCATTTAGGAGATCTTTTCTTTGGTGTTATTGTTTTGAGTTTTTAGAGGATAGTGATTTTTTAACCTTGTGTGTATGTGTGTGTGTGTGTGTGTGTGTGTGTGTATGTGTGTGTGTGTGTGTGTGTCTCACGGACCACACCATGCACTGGGCTGCTGGACCTGAGACATACCCTCGATCTGTTCCTCATCCAGAGTGGCCTGAAACAATATTCTCAAGTTAGTCAAACTGAACAGGCCCGTAAAAATGTTTTTATAAATTAAATAAAATGATCTTTGCTGAGAAATAAAACTTCCTTTGCAAACAAAAAATCATGAACTTAAATAAAAGTAAAGGAACTTTAAATCAAAGTAAGATTAGTTGAACCAAAATGTTAATTTGAACTTAAAATACGTCCTTGAAAACGGACGTTTAGTCGAAATATTGAACATGAGAGCAAAATAATCAGCTTAAAATTAAAGCAATTCAGATTTAAAATTAAATAAAAAATGCACAAGGACCTTGATAAAATCAATGACAGAAAAACAAACGAAAACAAAGGAACAAAAGTACAGTGGACCCCCGGTTAACGATATTTTTTCATTCCAGAAGTATGTTCAGGTGCCAGTACTGACCGAATTTGTTCCCATAAGGAATATTGTGAAGTAGATTAGTCCATTTCAGACCCCCAAACATACACGTACAAATGCACTTACATAAATACACTTACATAATTGGTCGCATTGGGAGGTGATCGTTAAGCGGGGGTCCACTGTAATTAGATGAAATTTTTGAAGAAGGAACTGACTGCGCAGTAGCCACGGGGACGAGGACCATCCCCCTCTTGCCCCGGGATGTATAGACGTTTCGCTCCACATCTAGCCCCCCTCAAGGAAGGTTCCTTGATGTTGGTGAGGGGCTCTTGATTTAGGGAATTGGATCTGTGCTCCAGTTCCCCGAATTAAGCCTTCCACATCCCCCCCCCAGGCGCTGTATAATCTTCCGGGTTTAGCGCTTCCCCCTTGATTATAATAATAATAATAATAATCCACATCTAGCGAAACGTTGTGATCACGTCTCAGCGGTCAACTTGTAAATTTGCTTGTCAAGGTGCATCTTGCCTCCGGGTTGACGACAAGTTGATGAGTAAGAGACTTATACAATATTTGTTGACATTTCATCAATAAACGCGAGTGTTGCACAAGTGATGCAACACTTGTTGCAACAAGTGTTACACAAGTGTCTTATCCATCACTGTTGTGTTCAATGGATTAAAAATATATTCCATGACCCTTCGAGTGAAGTTTTAGTTACATCAAACCTGATACTATCTGGATAACCTGATAACCTTATAACTCGATAACTTCCAATTTCATAGTTACTCGTGTAACCCTCACAGGTCTTTGTGCTTTCCCGTGACTATAATATATATCACCTCGTGAGGAAATATAGCGGTGTAAACTACCCACATGGTATAACACCAGGAGCTGTTATGTAACTAGTTTATATTATTATTATAATCAAAAAGAAGCGCTAAGCCACAAGGGCTATACAGCAACTAGTTTATAGAATCTCAGATGTTTGCTTTTAACACGCATTTTATGGAGTCAAAGACCCTTAATGTCAGAAAATTAGTGACATACATCTTCAAGCCTAGAGAGGTATGCTTCAAGAAATAAGTCTTCATTCGTTGTATCCGGGTACTACGTACAAATACTAAAATAAGATTCACATAGAATATAGGAGGTGATAGGAGAAGAAAATATTCAATCAGCTCCGGGGAGAATCTTGAGTTTCCCCTGAAGTTGTTCATTCATTTCTCTGGGTATGAGGGTCCCCAGTCCAGTTCCAGAGGTACCAAATCTCTATAATTTCTAATACTGAAATATAATAATTCAGATCAGAATTTATTGTTTAGGAATATATAAAGTAACAGTTTGCTGTAACAATAGACTGGAGTTTTGTATCATTGTTCCTGTCAAGAAAAAAATATGATTACTTTTTATTTGTATGAGAATTACAAAATATGATAATAAATACCAGTTATAACGTGATTATCAGGTGCTGATATACCGGGAGTCCTGGTCACAGACCGGGCCGCGGGGGCGTTGACCGCCCAAACCCTCTCCAGGTATACTCCAGGTATTCTATTCCACCAGCCACACCCGTGGCTGGTGGAATAGAATGGTGAATGCCTCATTAAGGTTAATGGCCTCAGGGCTGTCGAGAGTCTTTAAGCCAAACATACCATTATTATAAGTTGTAGTGTTGTGGCTGTTGCTATACAAAATACTGAGGTAGACGTTACAAAGGCGGTCGCAGTACATACACCGTAAGGAAGACCGTTACAAAAGTGAACACAAGATGTATACCGTGAGGTGTACGTCTCTTAGTGTATACACGCTCAGAATTTCCTTTTATCACTATTTTAGCGATTAGGGCAATCTTGCTTGGCGGTGAAAGGGGTTAATGACTCCATTAACCCAACCCAAGAGGGTAAGATATCAGTAATTTATATAAACCACCTCGTTGCTACGAACTGAGACTGTGAAATCTTAGGAGCCGCTGCGATCTCTTTAAGTTTAACGATGGTCAGTATTTTAGAGTATTGTGTACTGTTTGTCTCCGCCGTTGCGGTTCATACAGCGCCTGAAAAATGGGAAGGTAATGAGGTTGGATCCAGGGAAGAGGAGGGCAGCTCCAACTCCTTGGATCAAGAGCTCCTCACTAGCATCGAGAATCCTCCATTGATGAATCAGTTCGACGATGTGTACAGAGACAACGATACTTTCTGCGTAGAGCTTTATAAAGTCACAAGGTAAAAACGCTTTATAAAGAGCGAAACGTTGTCCCAGATAAAAGCTTTGTGTATATCACGTGTCGCTGTCTTTACACTCGACGAGTGGTCTTGACTGCTGAAATAGCAAGCACTGTGTCTGTGGCAGCTTCAAGACCTCATTAATATAGCTACAATGCGATAACAACCAGTCATCTCAGAGTCATCAATTATTATATAAATACTTCAGAAAAAACACAAGCAGATGAACGAGACACTGGTACGACACTTGGGTATCTTCACTATAGAAACGCTTCGCCCACCAGTGGTTTTACCAACCCAACAGAGAGAGGATGAAACGAGGGAGTATGAGGTAACCAGTACCTCAGCTTAGAGATATGTTACTCCACCAGCCTGGAAATAAGCACGGGGGGGTTGATAAGAGGAGAAATGAACACAAAAACAATTCACTTGAATGCGCTTCGATTCTTGAACCTCGACCACCGCCCATACACCGCCAGGAAACAGGAAATTAAGATACTCTAGTGTTACACTTGTGTTTTATTCATTAAGTTCTCGGTATTGTATACTATCAGTGATACGTAACTACAGGCTATACAAATGAAACATTTGGGTATTTTTATTCTGGAAACGTTTCGCCAGCCATTGGCTTCTTCAGTCCACTGCAGAGAAAAGTGGAAGATGAGGAGTACTTGAAATAATCAGTCCCTCAGCCTGGAGTAGATGTGTTCAGTCCATCAATCTTGATAAACGTTTCCAGAAGAATGACACTGAAATGTTGAACAAGTGTCTCATTTACCAATTTGTATTTTTTCTAAATCATTTATTCACAGGCTATACATAGTAGCAACCTACACACAGCCTACCAACACAGTGAATAGTTGCATTCTGTCAGAGTGTGTCTGTGATTGGAATGATCTCCCAAGTAGAGTCATAGAAGCTAAAAGCCTTAGGTAGCTTTAAAAGGAGATTAGAAAAATATATGACTCCATGGGGCAGTGGAGAAGAATTCTTCATCCGTAAGTTATGCGTGTCGTAAGAGGCGACTAAAATACTGGGAGCAAAGGCCAAGTAACCCCTTCTCCTGTATATATTACTAAATGTAAAAAAAGAAAAAACTTTACGTTTTTTGGGGGTGGGGGGGGGGGGTTAGTCACCCTGCCTCGGTGGGAGACATCCGTTGTGTTAAAAAAAATGTAAGTGGAAAGGGCTGCGTTTGATTAGTATCTGGACAACTGCGGCAAATTCTTGGGTGGCTTTGGGAAAAGGTTGGACAGTAAGGAGGAAGGGGGGAGGGGGGTGGAAATAGTTGGTTATGAGAAGAACCTGCCTAGTATAGGCCAGTAGACCTTCAACATTGTTCCATAATTCTAAAGTTCTTAATTCAGTCCATTATATAACAATCACTGTGGCCACAGGTTAAAGCCAGGGTCCGTCTTGGATGTTCTAAAGCCCTAATCTATGTCAACTTTGAGAGACTTCAAAAATTTGAAATTCAGAATTAGATAATCCTGGAGTATTTGGAGAGAGAAAAAATTATTTTTGAGGTCTCCCTTGCTGAGAGGCTCTTGATCCAACGAAGTGGACATATCTTTAGTTGGATCGATTCTGACTGCTTCCTATTTCTCTAGGCCGCTCTGTGACTCCTAAGGGTTTAGCGTTTCCCCTAAAGTCAGTAATAATAATAATAATAATAATAATATCTCGTGATGAATGGTTTGAAAAACCGACAAGTTGAAGATTGAGACACTTATGCAGCATATGGGAATCTTTATTCAGGAAACGTTTCGCCACACAGTGGCTTCATCAGTCCAATACAAAGAGGAAGGCGTAAGGAGAGGAGGAGTATGAGGTAATCAGTCCCTCAGCTTTATCAATCTACAAGATTGATAAAGCTCACGGTTCAGGGAGAATGACCTAGTAGCGACCAGTGAAGAGGCGGGGCCAGGAGCTCGGACTCGACCCCTGCAACCTCAACTAGGTGTGTACACACACACACACACACACACACACACACACACACACACACACACACACACACACACACACACACACACACACACACTCACAAATGAGCAGTGCTGCTCAGACTAATTCCACATAATAGTAACAACGGCTACCACACATACCTGGCTCGCCAGAGTCGCCAAAAAACAGAATAGCTGCCCAGAAAGACTAAGAAAATGTGTTTGACACTCACAGGCGAGGAGGAGTAGGAGGCGAGGAGAGGCAGTACAATGGATACAGCTGCTGTCGAATCAGTACACCAGCTATATACACTGGCAATATATACCTAATACGGAGAGACGGCCATTTAATACGCCCACAAAGCACTAATACACTTTGTATATATTTCTCTTGCTATAAATGGATACAGCTAAAGTATATATATATATATTATATATAATAAACTATAATATATAT